TTTTAAGTCCATCGTGCCCCAGACAAATTTACAGGAATCTAATTTCTTAAGCAAAAGGTTTGTGAACAAGAAGATGTTGAACGGTCTATAAACTGATCTCATTAGTTGAAAGTCTCGCAATTAATTAGAGTGCGTGTGTTGCGGGCGCGCCGTGACCGGCATGGGACAGGCCCCTAATAACTATGGTGACCATCTTTTGTATAAAAGTGGGATAGTATATTAGTTGAAAGTTGTGAATACTTGTCCGTGTGGTGACGGATTAAGCATACGGAGTGTCACCACCCCTATTCATCCCGTGGGTGTCGTAAGAGACGACTAAGGGAGCAAACTACGCAGGACAGCAGCACTGCAAGAGAAGGAAAACCTAAAACAAACCCTATACCGACCCGTCTGGCCAGCTGGGTATAGTAGGCCAAAACCTCTTTTCTAAGGAGAGGCCTATGTGCAGCAGTGGACTGTTAAAGGCTGTTGATGATGATGATGATGGTGATGAATACCTTCTTTTTATTTATCATCGTCATCATGATAAATACCTTCTTTTAACAATAAAACTTCTTATGTACTAATACCTAACTTTAAATTTGGTGACTGTTTAATAATATAATTTCGTGTTACAAAACTGATTAATTCTCGATTGTCGTCTAATAGGTTGACCAGAATGTTTGGAAGAAGGTGTATAGTTGTAAGGCTCGGCACACAGATAGTTCTGTAAAGTCATTCCTAAAAGAATTTTCTGTTGAATTTTCATGCTATTCATTAGTGAACAGAGTTATTGATCTCTTATTCCAGATCTTGCCCTCTGATTCTTCAAGAATCTTAGAAGTTTTCTAAATCTGTTATATTGTAGCTTCAGGAGTCAATATTTTGTAGTTTTTATAAAAATCATAATAGAAATAAGTATTTAAAAGACTAGATTAAGCTAATAAAGCCAACTGAAATAATACCCCCTGGGTTTGGGCTCCAGTAGCCGCAAGCACTTATTGAAAAGCAACGAAAAAATAGCTTGACTCCGATTTCTAGGAGCCCGTGGTATCTATCACTCTGGTTGAGCTGTCCACATGTGATGAAGCATGGCTCTCCCATGTTGAATTTTTGATTATTATTCTATTTTTGACGGGCCTGTTGATCTGGTGATTAGTGACCCTGACTGTTAAGCCGGAGGTCGTGGGTTCGATTCCCACCCAGGACAAATATTGTGTGATCATTTGTTCTGTGTCTGGGTGTAATTTGTCTACAATATGTATGAATTTAAAAACATATAAGCATGTTTATCGGCAGGCTGGTTACTATAGTACAGACTCTGCCTAGTTTGGGATCAGGAGGCCGTGTATCAGATGTGTGAGGTATATTATTTATAATTATTCTTAATTCGACAGTTGCAATATATCACAACATATCATCACAGAAAACATTTAAATTGTTATAATAGTTTTTATTCTGATTCATGGTGTCTCCACTAATAACGGGCTCTCGTTTGTTGTTTTAATTTAGCTCTAAATACACACATGTGTTACTGTCATTCATAAATAGATATAAATTGGGTGGGGAACGTTTTTCGTTAGTATTTTGCTTAATTAGACTTAGCCCGCTTTGCCGTCAGGCTCCGATGCGCCTCAGAAGATGTAATTGGTGTAAAGTCATTTGCAGTTACTTTAGAAATAACATAAAATAAACAAAAACATTTAGTTTAAAAGATACAAAAAGTTCGGAATGATTAAATTCAATTTGTAAAATTTTACTGCTCTATTACCACTATGCCTTAGTACAATCATTTTTTTTCCTAATCCTTCAATAGATGACGAAAATATCGGTGGTAAAGTCATAAAAATACATAAGTACAGCTCAAAAGTATAGACAAAATCGACAGTAACTTGTTATTATTTCAATCAGGTACAAATGAAGACGCCTTGGATGAATTGTAGACAATTTATGTTAAGGATACAAGTACAAATATCCTATAGCAACAAAAAAACGAATGAAATGTTCAGTCAAGTGGTTAACTAGTTGTTTTACATGATTACTGCACTGTAAACACCAGTACACACTAATTACCTAAAACAAATACTCCCTACTTTGTTGTCCCGCAATACTGTTTTACTGTAAATTATTTTCCATTTTTAATATTATTTATTGTTAGTAAATATCTAGTAAAGAGAAGAGAGAAGCGAGTAAAAACAAAAAAAATTCGATCCAATCTTTATCAATATTTACGTAACTATACTACTTAGTAGCATTTATCTATGCAATAATTCTTTATTAGGTACTGTTTCCGTATTATTTATGGTACACCTAATCATCACGTCAAATGAAGTACGATTAACCATTTGACCCTTTAGCTGTCGGTGCTCCAGCACGAAACAGCATATCTCTCCTTGGATAAACCTTAACGATTATACCTAGTTTTTAGCTTTACTTGTATTCTTTTTTATACTTTTCATTGAGAATTTCAAGAATTTCTTGACCAAGTGAACTCAATGTGTAAAGATTGATAATGTTATTAGTGACGAGGTTCAAGTAAATTTAGGCGTAAGTACCCAGGAGTAGTGTACTGGGTCCGTCACTTTTTTTCGCTTAAGTTGATAATCTGTGTGAACTGGAACTTCCTAAGGCAAAAATTGTAACATTCGTCGATGACACAGCCATAGTTTTCACATGGCATGGCACCGCCTTTGGAGATTCTTGGGATGAAGTTTTCGCTAGCAGTGCAAACTAACTAGCAACAACTAGCAACTTGTAAATCTATCTACTATGGGGTGGGGACCTGGTGACCTGTAATTCAGGATCAACCTACTTCAGACACCAGCTCCTCACATATATGTGACTGCACAATAAGTATTGTGTGTAGGTATATTATTATTCAACATAAACTTTTGACTGTGTGCCTAGGTAAGATGAGGTGTTCATTTTTGATCTTGCATAATTTTTGTTTGTAACGGACTTCAAAGAAATTAGGTTATGTTTTATGTTGGTACCTCCGAACTCCGTTGAGTTACAATGTGCTTGTATACTTATGTAATAAACTATACTTAATACCAACGACATTCATAGTGACGTCTCAAGGACTTTCAGTCTAATTTCTTCAAGTTGTAATTCTGGTATAAAAAAATACTGTACCATAGTATACCAACAGTTATAGGTACTATTAGACTCTGGGGCTTTACTAGACTGTGTGAGAGAGAAATTGTAATTTATGTTTGCAAATAAATAACTTATAATTTGGTTTGTTCATCGTACTTAATCAAAAGTAATATCCAGTAAAGTTATTTTGTTCACTGATACATTACGAGATTGCACTAAATTGCACGACATCTAAATCAGAAAGTACTTAGTAATCGTTTGGATTTTTATCTTTGAGTTTACCAATGTTATAACCTAAATAGGGAATATGCATGTATTTTTTTTATTTTTTTTAACGATTCTACTAGTTATTACATTACCAAAAATAAATATAACACATCCGAAATATAAACCGTTAAGCAAAAAAAAATTATTAAAATCACTATCATTTTGGGGCAATTTGAACACGTCCATTTTGGCGCGCTTTTTTTGTGACGTCAGATTACACTTTCAGACGAATTCGATGTCAACAACGGAGTGAAGTTCACAAAGTTTCTGAAAGTTAAAAAAGTGAGTGATAAAAATTAACTTATTACCATGGAAAAGCCAATAAAAACTTATTATAAATATTGTGCCGTTCCTTTGTGCCCAAATAATATCAAAACTGCACCTGAGCGTATTTTAGGTTATATTTATGTTATACGACTATTAACAAAACCATGAAAACGATCATTTAATAAAATTTATATACCTAACTTGTTTCCCTCGCAGCTTTTACTCCTCTGAGTTCAGCAGACGTAAAATCTGAATTAGATGCGAAATAGGTGCTCATCATAAACACGTCTATTTTAGGAAGATTATCTGATTGTGCTTTGACAAAACCGATTTCAGTCATTGTGTTGAGTCTTTCTACACGGGAATTTAATAATTTAACACTGAAAACGTATAACTTAAAATGAAACAAAAAATCACCAGAATCCAAATATTACAAATACACACAACTTGTTGACACTCTTGATAGTGTAGGTTGACGTCACGTTTTATTCAACCAATAGCGTTGCGTTTTAGAAATTTGCGAGGGAATCTTAAAAAAGCCAATTTTTGATGATTAAATTTCACTATTAAATTATAATAAATTTCAAAAATAATTGTATGGGTATCTTTTTTTAGCAATAAAAACTACAAATAAAAATATTTAGTCCATTTTGGTGTCACGTGCATATTCCCTATTGCAAAAGTTGTGTTTTTGTTCAGAAGTTTGTGTCGAAATCAACACTACTGAAGTATCTTACCTGGTCTTGCCCATCCTCGCAACTAGGGCGCACTAGTCCCTAAGTGTAGCCGCCTAGCCTAGTCACACTGCGTATGAAAAGATTTTAAATATAATGCGAAGACTAAAAAAATATTCTGATAACCACCTTATCACGTATTTATTAAAATTACAAATTGCAAACATTCTCTACATTTACTGTTGAATTTGAATACGTAGAAAACCATCATCTAGTACACAGTGGTAAAACTAGTTAAGGAATTAACTTTTTTTTCCGTATCCTGCCATCTAGCGTTGAATAGCTAAACTTCGATCCCTCTGTAGTCCTATTTTGGGTTTCTTGCACTTTTGACATCTGTGCATTACAGTGAACATCTTTTGACAGCGATGCAGGAGAACAAATTTTGATTCTATGCTACAAAATTAAAAAGTTCGTTTAGTTTCCTGCTTGCTATTTTGCAATGATATTTTTCTATGCAATGTAGCGACGCTCGAGTTAATGAACCGCGCATTATTAAACGGTCGGATAGTATCACTACAAACGATTGACAGTTTTGACGTCAAAATTCATTGAAACTGGTATCGGAGCGGGAATGTGGAAATCTCGTTTGTTGATATCAAGTGATTGTAATTGAGTGTTACGCGGCCTTATAAATAAATTTCGCCGAACAGAATGCCACCAAGTAGCTTACGGGTCGTGTACGCGTTCGCCAGAGAAATGCATCCAAAGACGAGTGATGTTTTTATAGAATACGGCACAGCCGGATTTCGCACAAAGTGAGTAATTATATGCCTGTACTATTAAAATTCCTTTCAAATAATATATTAATATTAGAGCATAACAAAGCCTATTTATTTTTAATGCACCTTTCTCTCATGCTTTGTTAAATTGTCACGTAAGCAAAATTGTAATTTACTTAGATATTTAATTCCGTATGCAGTAAGAACGATTTTGTGACTCATCTGCACTGTCGTTTATAGTGGATTCATAACGGGAAGTCGCCGATACGACCGAATGTGATTATGGTCAATGACTTCACGTAATATATAAGACAAAACAGGAATAGGTTAGTAATTCAGTGTTATATATAGTATGCCTATATATAGTACGTCCAAGTAATTATTTGACACCGAGTAGGGAAATATGCGATGAAAAAGACCTTGTTTGTAATTAAAATGTCAACACTAATGACCTATACTGATTAATAAACTATGTTAGTTTACTTTTAATTTTTTGGCTATTTTTCTCTGTGGGGGGTCTAATTGACATTAAAAGCTGTTGTTTTAAAGTAAATTATAATCTGTTATATGATAGTTGTGAACTATCTATAACTATCTATCTATAACTATATATTTTTCTCTATCTGTATTTCTAGTAACTTATTATAGCTAAAATATGTGAAAGTTTCAAGGCTCTTCAAGACAATCATGAGTCGCTCCAGTTATTCTGTTATACAATAACTATATCACATACAAAATGAAATTAATTTATTTTACAGTAGGTAGAAACATTTCTAAGATTTTGAAAATAATTATTTCATACATGATGAGTGTGTGTGACAGAATTATCAACTTGAATGTTAGAAACTTTCACTACTTTTACTTTCATCCAGCTAGCTAAACTACTGATTGACACTTCTCGTGATCAGAAGGCTGGTCTTTTTCTAGCACAGAGAATTAGCATTGCCATTCAACGTGGCAATGCTGCCAGTCTTCTGGGAACGCTACCAGTGATGATGCGGAGGAATTTTTTGATGCTTGTATGTAGATAGTGTTAATGTTGTAAATATTCTAACTTAATTTTATTTAATTTTCACTTTATTTCACTACTTATCTTTATGAATCTTGGACATAAATATAACATTTTTACAATCTTAATTCTGAAAATTTAAAACTATCATTATGTACTTTCATCTTTTTGGAAAATAATGGGAATATTATTATATAAAAGTGGTCATAGGAAATAATAATTTATGTTAGTTATTATAAGCAAATATTTTATGTTAGTTATTATAAGATTGAGATTATCATAATAGTCATTAAAGTGAAATATATTACCCGCAATAATGTAAGTTACAGTTACACATAATATTAATTTTACTGTATTTAAATGTAAAATAAACTGAAGGTTTGACATTTAAGACAATATTTGGTTGATATTTTAATAAAGTACTAACAGATCTTAATTGAATCCATCAATATCTCTTAAGAAAGTGATTAATGCCGCCAGGCAAACAAATCCAATTTTTTTTGTTACATACCTTGTTAAAAGTTCCATAATACAATATTACAGGATAATACAACAATACAATATTCTTTCTTGGACGCCATATTAAATATTTTTATACATAAACATTTAAACATGCCATAAAGATATTCGATAGGAAGTTAATAATATTGTCTGCAATTAGTGAACCACAATGTTGTCCAAAAGTTCCTTGCGCCTATTGTTTCTTTGTTTGTAAAGTCCCCCTTTTTTTTTCCCGTGCTGAAATCCCCTCGGTTACCAGCTATCGGTGGCATGTCGGACTCGAACCGACTAAAACCGCACGCCGTCTCGGGTACTAATAGCCGGGGAACCAGGTATACCCTAGAAAGGAAGTCCCTGGTGCAATTTGTAAAGTCCCCTGCAAAATATAAATCAATGCTAGTGAAGCAGTTTTTTTTTTTAAATTGTTAAAAAAAATACTAAAAAGATAAAAAAGCATTTTTGCATTTAAGCGCGTGTTGTATAGGTAGGTTACCTAGCAGCCCTGAATTTTAAATTTTTTCGAACTTGGGCAGAAACTTGATAGCAGCGCCCGTCTCCAGCGTTTGAGATAAATTACTTAAAAAACTCATAAATATATAAGTTCACAGTGTGTGTCTTTTTCTTACAAGTCGACTCTGAGCCAACCAGGCTTCCGTATGCTAGGCGCTTGGGGGAGCAAGTTTTGGCATGATTTTGGCGCCCCCTGAAACTGTCGCCCAGGTGGGTGCCCCGGTTCGCCCTTACCTTGTTACCTAGGCTTATTCTTGAGAGTGGAAAGTCAGATCTCTGGTGATAATCACCCTTCTCCATCATGCCCTTAGCCAACAATAGGGGAGTGGCCGAACTAAATAACGTTTTAATGTCTGAAGTGCCAAGCCTTCTCGCTCTATTGACGTACCACTTACTGAGCTCTAGTTAAATATAATAATAAACATATAATAATAACAACACAAGGAACGAAAAAGTAAATTGAGGAAATTGAAAAACGGATAAGGCGTGAGAGTTATGGACCAAATAATCTCTGATGGGAATTCATGGAACTCTCGCTGTACCTGGCAATGCCTGGCATGTATCTGTGGAATCTACTCAGTACTGGAGAAATGCTATGCTAGTAGTGCTGAGCATTCCTCTGTCGAAACATTTCGGCAATCAACAGCTCTTGTTCTAACAACAATTTATTGTGCCCTACTTACGAGTACTTCAAGAATAATACTTGCGAATGGATTTGCTAAACAACTGCTTTGTCAAAATACGGCCTGAAATGTCAGAATTACGATACCCCATATCCAAATCTGCTCAAGCATTTAGATGTTAAAGTACAAATCAGCTCATCCAATACCGAACTAAAACTACTGACAATGCTAGAATAAGCACGCAGAATGGACTGGTCACGTATACCGCATGCTTCTTACAATGGAGACAAAAAATCGGTATACCTACGCAAAGTAGGGAGTTCCCCTGCCCAATACGACTTAAAGAATTTATGTAATTTACCAAAAGCTGTTGGCGTCTTAATTTATCTGTATATATTTATTGATCGATCAGTTATTACCTAGATAAGAATTTTGCAATGCGGTTAGTTCTTTTAAAAAATCTTCTAACGCAGATAAACAGTTCAGTTAGTATATCTATCTTAACTAAAACTATTTTTGTCTAGGTTAACGTTTTCCAGACTACACAAACATATCAGCAATGCAAATGTCTAAAATAATAAAAAAATATAGTACTTTGATCCGTACACCTTCGGTAAAGTATTAGTTTTGGCGGGAAGCCAAACACTTAGGAAGGAACCCCTTTATTGTATGTTATCCAAACACTGGTTTATTATAAGTTAATGTTTTTAAAATAAAATTATATCCTATAGCACGAGCACTTAAGATATGTAGGTACGAAAAAGAAGTGTGTGCAGGTTTTATATTAGTTAGTTTTAGGCGAAATATTTGCAATTTTTCCATGAATTTTGGATTGATTGATTAATGAAATGCAAAAAATAATTGGTTAATACAGGTTTTCTATATTGCCGGTTTGTTGCATTCTAGTTGATCCGGGCCCATAAAATGTATTCTCACACATCACACATATGTACCTTTTCGTTTACCTGATAGAAATTGCTAACAATGAAATACCGGCTATTGCACGATTACTATTATCTTAAAGGTACATAATAATGTATTAAAAAAAAGAAACTATTGAGTGTTCAGCTGTCATTTTCTAAGGTAGAATAAGGTCATACGCTCCAAAAAGTTCTTACATTTGATACTTACCCACCTTAATTTGTCAAAGTGAGAACATTCATCAATGCTGTTCAGCTAAGGGGTATTTTAACAAAAGGAATTAAAGAAAGAATGACAGATAAAATAAAAATTCCCTTCTACATTCAAAGCAACGAAGTAAGTACGTAAAACAAAAGATTGCAGGAATACTTACTATCGTTATTTAAATAAAAAGATATTGATTTAACGACTAGGACTTAGATAACACACTGACACAATTTCAATAATGTTGAATCACAATGCTTTACTTATGAAAAAAACAAAGTTAAAAAAAACAAACACTTTGTGTTATTTACATTAAAACACCTTTTAGACAGCGTATATACGTAAAAGAAAAAGGCGGTGGAGGTGTACTACAGGCGTAATGATTCCTAGTGTAATAAATTTAATGATTTTTCTGACATCTCTGTTTTCTTTTGGTAGAAATGAGTTCGAGGCATGCCCTTCTCTTTATTCGGTTTTACGTGACGAGCTTCCACTATCTTTATTAGACCATTCACGGAGGGTCTCTGATTTGAAATGCTTCTGATCTGCTATTTTATCGGGATGTCAACAATTAATGCAGCATGTTTTTTCGCAACAGCAAAAATTAAAAAAAGAAAGTGTGACAGACACTAGAAAATTATCACGGAATTCCAAAAATATTAAAGTACGATCAGATCTCTAAACTAATTATAATACTCTACGCCACTCCAGTTCATAAAGTGGCTATTTAAACTACTGCGCTATCTGTTCAAACGCTTTCTTATATTGAAAATGCCATTAGTGTTCGGTGCTACGGTATCTTCTTCTTGGTCGTGTCAGTCTCGTCAGAGTGGTCGTAGCTATCATGATCATCACTTCTGGCCACTTCTGTCTGCTCACGGTCATCCTGACCTGTACATTTAAATGGACCGCCAACAGTTAATTTAATCTGGTCTGTCTAGCGCATTGGTGTTCTACCACGCAGCCTTGTCACCTTGACCTGTCCCAGCACAACAAGGCGCTCAATGGAGTCACTTCCACACCGACGAACATGGCCAAAGAATTGAAGGATGCGATGATGCGAATCAATGCGCAGTTTCTCGAGAATGGAGACATTTGTACGAAACTCGGTGACGAGCATTCTTCTCCAATATCACATTTCTAGGGTGTCCAACTTTTTGACCTCCTGTCTGTCGTAGAGTCCACGTCTCTGCGGCGTATAAGAATATAGGAAACACCAACGATCTGACGAGTCTGATTTTTGTGGCTTTTGCTATATTTTTGTTTCTCCATATTCTCTTGAGCTTATCCATTGCAGCTCTAGACGTGGCCATTCGTCGCTTGACCTCTTCAGTGCGGCCTCCCTGATTTGAGATTGTAAGTAATAATATACTTATAATCTCTACAAAAAATACTATACAAAAATTATTACAGTTGGTAGCATAAAATATAAATATCATTATGTATGTTATACCAATGCTGTACAGTTTAAATCACCCATAGTAATTCAATACGACAGTGAGGTGCATTGAACGTGGGTAAAAATAGGCAAGGAGACCGCCGTACCTACTGCGGTAATCAATCCAGCTTCCAAACTTCCTGGCTGTCACTGTAAACGACCAATACGACTTTCACCAAGACTATAAAAATGGGACAGGCCTGTTGGTCTGTCAGTCTGTTGGCAATCCTGAGTGCCAAGCCAGAGGTGTGATGAGTACGATTATTTGTTTTGTGTCTATAAATGTAAATGTATTTGGAAATATGTAACAATTTTTGTTTATTAATACTTAACCCAACTAGTTGGAACTTCTCTATAATTTTATAAACAAATAAGTGCTATAAAGTTAAAAAGTATGTAAAGCAACTACATAAAACTTTCCACTGTCCAGTATGTCATGGTACAAAAGTCTAACCAATTCAAGTTATACTGTTCATGAAATAAAACATTCACAACGGTTGATATTCGGTTGAATAATCCTGCCTGGAAATCTCTAATTCTATTAAAGGGACAAAGGAAGTGACGACCCGCTACTGGGAACGATGCACTTTTGGAACCCACGCTCTAATACCACCTTTGGTTGTGCGTTACACGTAATTCAGTGATTGTATTCAAAGTAAGAGCCGTAATTGTCAGTGCAATGTTCTAAATGTGGATGTATAGAGACGGACGTAATGGGGTCAGGACTTCGCCTTTTGTGATTCTCAACCAATCAACGTTTTCATGATATTCTAAGATTATTTCGAAGTAACTGTTACTTAAACAGCACTTCTATGTTATACATGAATCTGTTCCTTGATAGAGCTATAAGTTTTCGAATGTGTTTTATATCTAATCATGATTTTAGTACATTTATATTTTACATAATTAGAACCGATTCAAATTAACCTTATTTCTCGAAGAAACTCGAAGAGGCGGTCTGTCTTCCGCTCGTCTTACTTCCACTATACCCTCTGATAATCAGACGGACATGTACCAAAATAGAGCAGTTTTACGAATATATAAATCATTAATTTACGTATTCGGGATGAAGACAAATCAAAAAAATCAAACGTCATAAAAATCGGCCGAGTCGTTCTTGAGGTTTAAACGGCCTAACTGTTTATAAGATTATAAATCTTTGAATTCTAAAATTTAAAAGTTAGTGTACTAATGAAAATATGTTCTCATTTATTTTTGAAATGTTATTCACTTTAATCAGCATTCTTGCGAGCTACACTGTTCCATAGTGAATTGTATAAAGGATGAATTAATAGTTAGTATTCACTGTGTTATAAATGTATATTTATTTCAAGAGATCTATGACTTGTTTCAGAGCCAATTTGTTGGAGCATGTGGTGTACCGCATGGGCCTGTTGGCCGTTATACGCTCCAGGGTGAAGAATGGTAAGATTTATTTGACAGTCTAAGTGTCAATTAGACACTCTAGGCATTCATTGACTAAGATCATAGCGCGTTATTTCTGTAAACTAGCTCGTACATAAAGTAAGATTTCTGTCCGAAGTCAAACGCAACTATTAGCATATTTCATAGGAGAAATTTACTTCTGAATAATTCCATTCCGGGTTGTAAGACAGTTTAGCTTTCCTGGGAGTTCCCGAGTACCATAACTCGATGTATTTGTGGGTACACAGCTGTAACTCCTGTACACCAGGTCAACCCCTGGTGTAAAGGAGTTACAGTAGTGGGCGTGTGGAGAGATCAGTACCAGGCGAAAGTAAAAAGTACAAGATATGGAAAAACAAAACCGCTCGTCAATCTGAGTAATTCAATATAGCATTGAGTGTTTGAGATTGTCGAAAATCATCAAAGCTATGCAATAAAACTGCTACAGTTCTTAGCACAAATGAAATACTGTAATAAAGCTTTGAACTAAATAATATATCTCACCGTTCACCAAAATAACCCGAAGCAAATAAACTATTACTGTATATTACTTCACGGTCTAAATGAATGTTTTTAGGTCGCACAATAGGTATTATGATCACTGCCTCGCACAATCTCGAACCCGATAATGGAGTGAAGTTGGTTGACCCGGACGGGGAAATGCTGGAACAGAGCTGGGAGGAGATAGCCACGAGACTTGCTAATGTCAGGTACATCTTATGTTATCACCCTATTTTTTTTTAATTAGAACAGTTAACTTTTGTGAATCAACCACGTAGAATATTCCCCTGGTAAAATTAGCGATGTTCTGAAGGTCAGAAGTATCTGAAACCGACGAGGTTGTTGAAAGGATTAATGATAGAAGAAGCTCTAGAGATATGTAAGAATAGAAGTAATTATTTCTGCCTACTCTGAAGTGAGAAATATTATTTATGTACATTATGCATGTAATAAAAAATATTAATAAAGTATTTACGGTGACTCTGACGCCACTCTATCCCTCGGGGTCATTTCTAACAATTAAGCAATAACTTAAGGCTCCATACACATCACTGATTTCAGTACATACTTAGAAACCTTGAGCTAATTATAGTAACAGGTAGGTCCGGATAACAAAATCTATTCCTTCGGATCCTTCCTATTTAAATCACAGCATAGCACACCGTCTTATTCAGTTCGATTCCGATTGTACGTGGATTTTTCCACACGTTAAAGACATGTAATATTGTGAAATAATAATCATTTTCATAAGCAGTTTTTAATAGTCCAATGCTGGACATAGGCTTTAGGAAATAGATTTTGGTCTACTATACCACGCTGGCCAGATGGGTTGGTATACGGTTTGAGTCGAGTTTTCCTTCTCTTTGCAGTGCTGCTGTCCTGTGTAGTTTTCTCCCTTAGTCGGCTCTTACGACACCCACGGGATAGATAGGGGTGGTGACACTCCGTATTCTTAATCCGTCACCACACGGAAAGTGAAATAATTTAAGTGATAATCAGACTGCTGATAAACATCTTACGTATCTAAGTGCATACATATTTCAAAAAGTACACCCATAGCCACTCCAATCATAGGAAAAATGATCGTGTTTAATTCCCAAATATGACGTCCAACCGACCTGATAGTTATTTACGACCTTCCTTCCGAGAAGCTATTACTAATGTTCTATCTTCCGTCGATGGCGGTTCTAATATTTTGTTTTCTTACAATTACAGCGACAATGACTTAGAATCAACAACGGAGCAGGTGATAAAACAAGTGAACGCCGACATGTCCCTCAAGGCGAGCGTGTTCATCGGTATGGACACCAGGTACGAACAAGTATTAATACCTAATTATTATGTTAATTTATTCCTATGGTGTCGTTTTATCTTGTATCGTTTAGAGCATTATCGGATGAAATACTTAAAGTGTCAAGGACACGTAATAACGTTAATATCATTGTAAGGTACTAGCGTAGTGGTCGTAGCGTGATGATATAGCCTATAGCTTTCCTGGCTAAATGAACTAGGGGTCCAACACTAACCATCAACCTTTAATAAATATTTTTGACTAAACCAAAAATACAGAAGTGACTTGTACCTACTTAGTTCAATCGTAGAATAGATTGATGCTTTACAGCGCTCTTTTATTTCAAACTGCGGTTGTTTAAAGAATTCTTCTATTCGAATCAGTAGTGCCTGAAATTTTATTCAAACACACTCTTCAGCTTCATAATATTCGTATAGATTGATTGATTGGATGGCCATTCGATGTTCTGTCTCAGTTGTAGGACGGAAATACGAGTAAGCGACCCCTGTCCGACCTGATTATTACATTCCTTACGAGGGCCGACAACCAGCTTTAAACATCATCTATCAACACGGGCCGCTGTTTTTCTGGTGTTAAATGTGATCAAAAATGTTGCCAATACTATTAAAATAACAATCCATTTTAAAAGTTTTCAATCAATTTAACAAAAATATTTTTTTGTTTTTAAAAGACAACTCCCGCATTAGGAATATATCCTGTGTCGCGGGGGACTTTACAAACATACATGAAACGGACACAAAGAACACGCAGACTCAGAACAACAATTTGTGAATCACACAAAGTGGTGTCCCATGTGGGGGATCGAACCCACAACACTTAGCGCAGTAGGAAGCGGCGTGACGACCGCTTAAACCACTACGCCATCCGTGCTGTCATTAATTTTGAAAAGTTTTATTTATTTAAAAAAGGACTAAAATACGGTATTAGAACATCTGTTTGTTAACAGAATAAACGTTTTAAAGTTTCATCTCTAATAGAAATGCGTTCTCAAGCACCTGTCAAAAAGAAATAAAGATCTACTCTAGATGATAAAATGTGCTAATGTTCTGTGCACCAGCTCATCACGCTATTTTAACCTCTATTCCAGGTACACAAGTCCCCGATTAGCAGCGGCGGCAGCTAACGGTGTCATCGCTCTAAAGGGAACTCCCAAAGAGTTCGGCATCGTTACAACTCCGATGTTGCATTTCTGTGTCAAATGTCGCAACGACAACACTTATGGAACACCCACTGAAGAAGGTATGTTGTGTGTGATGATCATTTTTAGTGCGAAATGTCGTCAGTAATGGCGAAGGTTATTGCTAAGCCAGAGGTCATGGGTTCGATTCCCACCAGGGACAAATATTGTTAACCGACGTTAAGTAATTGTTTTCTTGCTTTTTACCTAGTGAGAGGAGTTACTGAAGCCCCATACTCCTCCTCAACTAATTAAGGAAGGGCCTCGTACAAAGGCGGTAACGCACTTGTAACTCTTTAGGCACAAGTGCGTTACCACTGCACCACCACTGTTGCGGGTGCCCATTGGCGGAGGTAGTTACTTACCATCAGGTGACCCTTGTGCTCCTTTGTCCCCTAAACCATAAAAAAAAGTATGTTTATCAGCAGTCTGGTTACACGCACAACACAGGCTTAACCTAGTTTGAGATCAGACAGACGTGTGTGAGATGTATAAACTTATTATTGTTAAATCTAACACCCTCTTTGTACTAACAATCCTTAACTAATATAAAATCAAATTAATTCTAGGTTATTATGAAAAAATTGTGGGCGCTTTCAAGAAGATCCGACAGAAGTTGACCGTGTGTGGCGATTATAACACCACGCTATACATCGACGGGGCTAACGGAGTCGGCGGGAAGAAACTCAACATTATCAAGAAGACTTTGGACGGCGAACTTGATCTGCAGTTGTTTAATATAGGAGGAAATGGAGGGAAACTCAATTTGAATGTGAGTTAGCATAGTATTATGGAGTACATTTTTATTTAAAATCGTATATTCTGAAGCACGAAAATGTCCAATAATTCAAGGTTAATATCTTATGGCAACCTCTCACGGTCACTCGGTGAAACCCTAAGAAAATTAGCTCAACAGAGGTCTTTTGTGAGGCTGAAGTGGCTATAACTCCCATATGTGCCGTAGAGCGATATTTAAAAAATATACGGCAAATGAATAAATATTTGATAAAAAATACTTCATCTATACACCAGGGTTATACAGACATTATAAAGTAATTAAAAGAGCAACACATGTAACGTACAAAGGCTTTATCGTTTAGAACAATTTCTTCCAGGCAACCTTTGGATGGACTGGATTCATTTTGAACTGGTGATAGGTAAATAGAAGGAAACCTACGAAATATTTGTATTTATTTTACATGAATTTTACTAATCCATATTTACATAGTAATACTCTACATACAGTTGACTACATGGATGACGTAGTGGTTTAAGTGGGCACCACGCCGCTTCTTACTGCGCTGAGTGTTGTGGGTTGATACCCACATGGGATAACACTTTGTGTGATCCACAAATTGTTGTTCTGATTGTAGGTGTTCCTTGTGTCTGTTTCATGTTTGTTTGTAAAGTCGCCCGCGACACTGGAATATATTCCTAATGCGGGAAATGTCTTTTAAAATATATACCTATATATACATTAACTTTCAACTATGAGAGACAGATATATATTTTGGATATACAATACAATAGAAACCGACAAGATTTTCTAGATTAAAAAGCCGTTTATACTTTTCATTTTATTGTTGTATCGTTAAATCAGAAAATGGGTAAAAATCAAATAAAAGAATACCAGTCGTATCACAGACAAAGTTTCTGTTTTCTGATGTATTGGTCATATTGATTTTATTTTTTATTAATTAATTTAAATTAAACGAATAAAGCATATTTAAATGAAACGAAAGCAGCCAATGTATATGTTTTTTAAACCTTTCCAGTGTGGAGCAGACTTCGTGAAAGTATCCCAGAAGGCTCCGGTAGGAATCGAACATGTTCCATTCCAGCGCGTGGCATCCCTCGACGGAGACGGCGATAGGCTCGTCTATTATTATATCGATGACAAGTAAGTGGAAATATTATTCATTTTACTGTAGCACATTGTGATTGCTTGAGATAAGGTTTTTTTATTGGTTTAAAGTGATGTTTGCGATAAGAAATTTATGTTGATTGGTAGATTACAAACAAAGCACTATTTATAATTAGCACATCGACAGCGAAGTTTTAACAGTATGCTAGTCAAAATAGTAAACTTACAGCAGAGCAAAATATATGCTTCAATGAAAGTGGAGCAAATTTTTTGTAGTTGTTTTCATGAAGATGGGACATTTTTTTAGCGGAACCTGGGCGTTATTGTCCTAGTTGATAACCAAAATATGTTTAAAACTAGGCCAAAAACCCCGAAAGGGTGCAATTATTCTGTTATACGGGATTAGTTTTAAATGTGGTATGGTTTCATATCAACTTGTAACAAATACATTATTGGTTTGTTTTAAGTTTCTTACATGAGTTAACAGTAATATTTTATGAATTTTTAAACATACCTACTTTTATACTGGCAGGTGCGTGGCAAGTTTAATTTCAAATAATTTTAATTGATAAGTTTTAGTTTGTGATCAACATCCCAATTAGTGCACCTTTAAAATGACAGCTATAGATGTTAAGACTACCTATTTCACGTTCTGAAGGGGTTGTTTTTTAAAAAGAGCGAAAAGCGTGTGATTCATTTTAATAAACAAAGAATGATATAAATTGAGGCATCTCAGACTTTTGCTGTCTGTTCTCAAATTATGTAAATATTAAATTATACATAATTTTAACATCAAATACAATACATCATATAATATATCATGAATAATTAATACACACTCGTATATGTATTAATTGCTTAGTCTCTCTTCTGAATAAGATAGCGATTCACTATCAATCAAGTTTCACAGTCATCAATTTTAACACACGGATGAAAGCAGTTTACTATTTCGCTATCATTGTCAATTGTCAGGATGGCCGAGCGGTCTAAGGCGCCAGACTCAAGGTAACCTTGTTCACTGAACGTGAATTGAGTTGTTCTGGTCCTCTCTGAGGGCGTGGGTTCGAATCCCACTTCTGACAAAATCTTTTTTTTTGAAAATATCTTTTTTAATAATTGTATTTTTTTGTTTAGATATTCTTTATTATTTTATTAATATTTACGTAAAATTATATATTTTATAATTTAACACGAAATTGATGTACATTGATATCTTAGATAATAACATGAAGTGATAACACGTATATGTATATTATTATATATTTTTATAGTATATATATATTTTTATATTGTTAAAATTGTGCAATTTATTTTGTTCCTGTCGCACTTGTAGCGTATATTTTATTCTAAAATGCATTAATAGATGTATGTGTAGTGCTACGGAACAAATATTTTGTGCAGTATGAATATAACGTATCTTCTTTAAATCTTAAAATATCATTGGTTTTAAATATATTCGCTTAAAAACAGATCTTAAATACTCTCGTTCGACCGGATCCATACCACAGCGTCACAGAAAACATCTGTTAAGTAATTCTTTAAATGCTTTTGACCGGGTTAAGTGAGGAGTGGGCTCCTCACTTAACCCGGTCAAAAGCAACAATCAAAAGCAATCTAACTGATTTGGGGAGGGGACTCAAACTCGTGTAACTATTGTTGCACGTGTCTATGGAAGGCCGGTATATATTTTTTCCTACATAGAAAGACAGATAAATACTTTATTTGTACACCAGGGTTTTACAGACATTATGAAGTAATTAACAACAGATGTAATGTACAAAGGGCAGGGATAGACCATGTACATAGGTACCACAAGGGTTACAAAATATGGCTTCAAATCTAAATATTCACCTAGGTATATTTTGTTGACAAAAATGTAGCTAATCGAAATAAATAGCCATAAAAAAATTGACTACTGCTAAACCTTCTTTTGCTATTTAATTACGATTGCATAATGTGGTGTACAATAATATTCTATCTCCGTTGCAGAAACAATATGAATTTATTAGACGGTGACCGCATTGCGACGTTGCTGGCCTCGTACATAGCGGAGCTGTTGCGTGCTTGCGAAGCTTCGTCGGACTTGCAGATAGGGCTCGTACAGACCGCGTATGCCAACGGCGCTTCTACGAAGTACATCACTGAAGATCTGGTAAGTGGGAGTACTTCTCTTCTTTTTTCTTCTGGGTTATTTTTTACAACACTCAATTCTTTTGAAATTCTTTAGTAATATATAATAAAATTAAAGATAAATTTAAAAAATGTTTAAATGAACTAGAAATGTTGAATGAGATGATGATGAAAATTCTTTTAGTGCTAGATAGACCATTTATAGGAAGGATATAGGCTAAACAACATCATGCTATGACCAATAGGAGTATCAATGATTTTTTTTGGGAAAGGGGGCAAATTTATTATTTTTGAGAGAAGCAGGCGAAGTTGCGCGTGGCAGCTAGTTAAAGACAAACACACACACATGGTACACGGTTTTATTCACATTTGTGTTTCGTGGATACCCGACCGGTTTCTTAATTGCCTGAGACCCTTTCCCAAGGCTCGTGTCTTTAGTTTCACTAAACTTTAAAACTCTATTTAACCCATATATTTGACATAACCTGCATAACGTGTAAACGTACAGACCTAACGTTTCTCTATGCTTCCAGAAAGTTCCAGTGTCGTGTGTGAAGACGGGCGTGAAGCACTTGCACCACGCGGCGCTGTCCTACGACATCGGCGTGTACTTCGAGGCCAACGGCCACGGGACTGTGGTCTACAGCACCAAGGCCAAGGAAGTTATCGCGAAGGTTGCACAAGAGGGGTGAGTTCACATTCAAGTACATTTATTTACTAGAAATGTAAACATGTAAATCCTTTTATACGAAATTAATATTAGATTATTTGGCTAATTAGTGTCGATAAATAAAAATATATGTCAGTGTTGTAAGTAATAATTGACTAATTAAAATTAAAAAAAAAACGAAAATGTCACTCTAGCATAATTATTCATTTTAATATAGTTTTTTTTTTTATCTACTCTTGGTTTTAAAGTAATGTGTTTTATATTAATACATAGGATATCTTATATGATCATAGTGGTATAAACATATAGGACTGTACGGATGGCGTAGTGGTTTAAGCGGTCAGCTCACGGCTTCCTACTGCGCTGATTAATAATAATATATTCTACCATTTTGTACCATTTTGTGTGTGATCTACAAATTGTTGGTCTGAGTCTGGATGTTCTTCATGTCTCTTTTATAAATATCTAAAAGTAAAGTCCCCCGCGACACAAGATTTATTCCTAGTGCAGGATTTGTGATTGATTAATTTGTTTGATCCAATAAGCGGTAAATGTAAAATATTTCTTGAAGGGTTCCGTGAAATAATCCAACTATAATTAATTTATCATTTATTGATAAATTAATTATAGTTGGATTATTTCTTCATGCATTTTAAAGATACAAAATGCACTTATTTAATGTTTAATAATTACAGAGAACCCGAACAACGCAAAGCTGCCCAACTGCTACAAAACTTCATAGACATGACGAACGAGACAGTCGGTGACGCCATATCCGACCTGTTCCTGGTGGAGACAGTTCTGTGTGCGCGAGGACACGGCGTCAAGCAGTGGATGAGCTCCTACACAGACTTGCCCTGTCGACAACTTAAAGTTACTGTTCAGGTAAGTTACAATTAACTACATAAAGAGAAATGAGAGATATATTGATTTACATAGAATACAGGTACTTCAATGAACATTGGAAACTACCTTCTTCCTCTACTTTTTAAAAGACTACTCCCGCGCTAGGAATAAATTCTGTGTCGCGGAGGACTTTACAAACATACATAAAACGGACACAAAGGACACCCAGACTCAGAACAACAATTTGTGGATCACATAAAGTGTTGTCCTATGTGGGGATCGAACCTACAACACTCAATAGGAATAGGAAGTGGCGAGGTGAACGCTTAAACCAGTACTCCATCAGTGCAGTCAACCTATGTAATACCTGTATTACATAGGTAGTTTTGAATGTTCCCCATGCAGCTAATGTAGCACTACCGACGTTTACGCGATCCTCTTTTTGAATTTATTTGCAGAAGAAAGTAAAAATGTTTTATTATTATTTCCAGGACCGTAATGCGATATCAACAACAGACGCCGAACGTCAGTGCACGGCCCCAGAGGGCCTACAGACACGCATCGACGAGCTGGTGCGGCCCTACAGCTGTGGCAGGGCCTTCGTGCGGCCTTCCGGCACCGAGGACGTCGTCAGGGTCTACGCCGAGGCCGACACGCAGCTGGTAAAAACTCAATACTAACAATGATACTAACTATATTTTGACATACAGGTACACAAGTTAGCTTTGTATTTTGACATACAGGTACACAAGCTAGCTTTGTACTTAATACGAGTTCTAGAACTTGAAGGACCTGTTAGTCTAGTAGTTAATGATCCGCCCTGTCGTGACCGGTCGTGGGTTCGATTCCCAGAACAAATAATGTGTGATGAGCATGACCTAGACAACACCTAGACATTACATTACATTAGAAATAAATAAGTATGTTTATCAGCAGTCTATGGGATTAGACAGCCCTGTGTGAGATGTGTAAGGTAATAAATAAAATTATATGTATATTATAAAAAAATATAAAATTACAAACAGGAACACCCAAAATATTGGTACTGAATAGAAATCCAACCCTTGACTTATGTCAAACCTTAAATTTTTACACTGTTGGTCTGGTGGTTAGTGACCCTGACTGCTAAGCCGGAGGTCGTGGGTTCGATTCCCAACCAGGATAAATATTGGTGTGATGAGCACGATCGTTTGTTCTGTGTCTGGGTATAATTTATCTATAATATGTATGTATTTAGAAATATATAATGATGTTTATCTGTAGTCTGGTTACTATAGTACAGGTTCTGCGTAGTTTGGGATCAGACAGCCGTGTGTGTGATGTGTAAGGTTATTTTCTAGTAGATTATGAATTGGATAATTTTTGCACAAAATGGTCCTGTCAAGTACATCTCTTCTATAATACAATTTCCTTCTCTGTTATATTAAATCGATTTCAAATCATGTGATATTGTCCACAGTCAGCAGACAAGCTAGCGGCTGAAGTAGCTCAAGCGGTATATGACCTGGCGGGCGGGGTGGGGGCCCGGCCTGAACTGCCCGCCTAGGCGTCACTCCCAACGTCCTACGCCTCCATCCACGTGAAATTACAATAACACAATATATAAACAACCACTTAATTCTGCTATTTAATATCGCAACTAATTTTAACAACTAAAGGTCTATTAATAAAAAAATCAAGTTTATATAATAGTTTTAGATAGAGTATGGCCCGTGATGTAATGGGCCAATGTGGGCCAAAATGACCCAAAGTAAGTGATAGTCTACAGGCGAGCTAAACTTAATATACTAAGTACTTTGGATCATATTAGCCATTAGCAATCATATTACACATTATCATTTCACAAAAATTTTTAGTATATACGGATATACGTAGACCTTTAGTATATAATTATCTAAAAGAATTCTCTATATACAAATCAAATTAATCAAAGAATAATAAATATACAAATCAATCTTTTTTTTAAGAAATTACGATCAAAATTATTAATATATCGCAAAGCGATTATAATTATATCTTTAAAATAAATAATATACAATTTTATTAATATAACTTAGTTATTAATCGTGAGTCAAGTACAGTACAACGCCCTACTAGTCTCTAATTGGTTTTTAATACTTAGGTGCGTATTGTTTCAGACATTTTTATAATATTACTTATGGTGCAGGCAGATTGACTACTTTTAACATAACTAATAATAAGTTTTTCCTGCTATAGGAATACCTTCAATTTGTCAAGAGATTGATAAGTCGATGGGCCGACTATCCATGGCCCAGCTTTCAAAGTTTGAACATAAAGCGAGTAAGCCTTATATTATAATATCAAGCGACACATCGGCGACCAAGTAGCCTATCTGCCCAAACCCTTACGATAATTTTAATAGGGCAGTTCTCATTATACAAAGATAAAAAGCATAAGGAAATAATTGTAACACACCCCACACAGTATTTAGACATAATATTAAAACTTTTCAAAGAAGTTCAATGCACTGTAATCCATTTGTGTTAACAAAATAATGACGCATCTATCAAACCTTGCAGCCCAACCAATCAGGTTGCAAGCTTTCATACGAAACGATAATTTCTTGCAACCTGATTAGCCGGGCGGCGGTGCGTCACTATTCTTAAAACGCGAAGGCACTATAAATACTTTCCATTATCAAAACGTTCCACGTTTTTATAGATATATAACATCTTTCCTCTCGCTTTTCTGCAATCAGCAAAAGGGACGGAAATGTGTAACAACAACTTTTTGATTTGATCAATGAACGCGCGCGGTTCTAGCGTTTACCGTCAGATTAGATGTCAGGTGTTACACTATATGCTTCCTGTAAGGCTCACTCGGTTTTTTTAAAAGCTACATGGAATGGAACCACTTTTGATGCGCCTTATAAATATATAATATCGTTGACCATAAATATAGACTCATAAAGATCAACTTTTTAAAATTGATTAAAATAGAAAAAAAGCTGTTTTACTTTTTGTATAGTGAACTACCTTATTTTCAATTAAGTCTTTTTTTTATTTTTAAGCCCCATTGCTCATAACAGTGTACCCAGGTGCTACTGATTGAAAATTCTGAAATACATAAAAATAATTTCTTTTTGTTCATTTTATATTTACTAAAACAACTCAATTATTTACTAAATACTTTTAAAAAGACTTATCAACGTCTTAATCTTACTGTTAGTTCTTTTAAACGAAATCAAGCGATCCCGACTCTGTTTTATCACTGTTAAGTAAGAAAATGTCATGCTGATTTTGATAGCAGATTACCTAAGTGCAACGTATGTCACTTAACTAGTTTTAATACTCTGTAATATACAAGTACTTATTATGTCTAATTTGGAGAGTAATCCTTGCAGTTTTATTATCTTCTGGCCGCTTCCTCACCAAAAATAATAGAAATTCGAACTCTTTTCTTTCCGTATACGCCAAAAATAGGATTATGGTATTCTTTAACCGAATCGTAATACATTTGTCGGTAGATAAATATTTATGTTAAACAGTTAAACCATACGCCTATTTAGAATTCGGTAATCAGTTCAAAACTTTTCCAGCTGCTCCCAGTAATATATCGCCAGAACTCAATACTTTCAGAAAAAAAGCTCCATCCTGCATACAGCATTACATAATACTTAACTGTGGTAAAACAGATAAAATAAAAGTGTATGTAAACGAAGCAAAATAACCACATCACTGTAGTTCTTCGTTTACGTACATATTTGTTTCATGTTTAAACATGAATATGTGCTTATGGTTATTTAGGGGAAATTCATCTTGAACGCACCACCATTAGGGAACTTACCAATACTACGTGACCCATTTAGGGGTATGCTTACAGGGGCGGGGGAAAGCCTTAATTTTTTTTACGTCGTCAATAATATATATATATATAAATGGCGGCGTGGTTATAGTACGCATATACGGATGGTGTGGTGGTTTAAGCGGTCACCTCGCCGCTTCACACACACACTCAGCACAGTAGCTGAGTGTTGTGGGTTCGACCGCCACATGGCACAACTTTGTGTGATCCAAAAATTGTTGTTCTGAGTCTGGGTGTTTTTTGTGTCCGTTACATGTATGTTTGTTAAGTCCCTCGTGATACAGGATTTATTCCTAGTACGGGAGTTGTCCTTTAAAGATGAAATGAATTAATAAAGACCAATTTGAGTCAAATTATTATTTTTAACTTTCTGTTTGAAAAAATGTATTTAAAACCATATTTATGAATTGGTACGTGAGAACCAGAGATGAGCGAAAGGGTCTACGAGTGGGCACTAAAAATAAAAATGGATCACGTAGTATAGGTACGTTCCCTTACACGTTAGTTTTCCCCATATTTTTTTTCAAAAATGAGGTACAGTCCCTTAGAAATAATAACACGCATGCAATTTCCCTCTTCACTGCCTATATATGTATAGCATAGGTTTAACTTAGATAAATTACACATTTAAAGTAGTTTGACGAATTAAATATATTTACTAATAAGTGTAAAATAACTTTACAATCAATGAACAAATGTCTTTACTCAATTTAATACCACTATTGGGACTCTAACTTCTACAAACTGGAATAGAACTAGAATATGTAAGTCGCAGCTGTTCTAAGTCAATTCGTGCTTTTTGTCCGTGCGTTGTTAGCTATAATAATGCGAGGACTATCCACAAAGACACAGATGAATACATTATTTGTGAAGTTAAATTACACGGTATATTAAAAATATTCTGCAATTTTTGACTGTTATATTTTAGATATTTTAGCACTTATTTTTAATAATTTTGACTTTAGCAGAGAAATAATAAATTAACGCAAGTATTTATAATTTAAAACCGTAAAAAGACTACATTATATTTGCTGAAATAATATCAAAATGTATTTATCTTAAATTCGTATATATATATATTATATCCTTAATTAGACGAATGAATGTTTAATGCGTGGACCAATATTTGTTTGTTTGATTTGGAAGTCGTCCTGTTAGGATTCAAGATTGTGTAGTGCTCTCTAAAAAGGTCTATTTTCAATGGTTAAAACATGTTTTGTTACTATGATATAATATAATTCAACATAAACGATTCCCTTTCTATCAAATTCTTAGTTTTTCCTTTTTAATTTCAAAATCATAATTCCCCATTAACCTAACCAAACCAGCTAATCAACAAAAAAAAACTTGTAAATCGAAACCTTGTGCGATATTTTTATTTAATTTAAATTTTTTTGTAAAAAGAGTACTTTGTTCATATTTCAATGTCACTTAAATTGACACAAGCAAAAAATAATTAAAAACCGTTTCTATAGAGCACACGTCACATAATGTTACCAGTATTGTATTAAACAAATTCAGATAACATATAAAACTTAACTATACTTATAAAAAGCATATTCCTAATAATAGTACTTACCAGTATGAGTTTCCGTAAAAATGTATTTAATTTCATCTCAAATAAGGGTGCGGCGTGTTTCGTGTGTATCTACTCAGAAGATGATTAATACATTTCTTAATTGATCAAAAGTATCCCGTGAATTATAACATGAAATCCAAGACATGTGTCATCCATTCAAACTGACCTCGTGTTACAATAACCTTCTCGAAACTTGAGCACAAAGAGATACCAGTGATATAATTATCTCTTGAACGAATAGAATATACAGAGTGACTTTAATTTCAGTACTTAAAATATAAGAACTACCTGACCCGTACAACTTTGCTGCTTTTCTCAATAGGAATAAATTTGTCCCGTTTTCACAACATTTTTTATTGATACTCGGCTCCTTTTGGTCGTAGCATGATGTTATTCAGCTTATATCCTCCCTCGATAGATGGTCTTTTCCACCACTAAAAGACCATACCAGTTTCAATCCATACCAGTAGTTCCTCAGATTACCTCGAACATACAAACTCACAAACTTGACTTTATAATAATAGGATGTACGAGAAATGCTTATATAAATCAATTTCTCCTTCTCTTTCTCAGGTTCCTTTTTTAATTAAATTGGATAGTGTTTTGTCTGCTAACTAATACCGACAATAGCAAGGCATTTGTTATTACTAAAAAGCATAGGTGTTCAAATAAGAAAAAAAAGTTAGTTTTATCGAAAAAAAAAAATGGATCTCGCCGTTTGTGCTCAGGATTCGTGATGGCGTGCATATTAATGAGCTGTGAAATATTGGAATTGAAAATCAAGGACTGACTAGAAGTAGACAAGAGTAGTCTGAAATTAGATTTATTTAATCTGGAGCATTGGGTGTGTTGTATTTGTTCTTTATGTGTATATGTATAAAGCTTATATTGAATGTGCTCAAGTGTTATCATTGTCAAGTGATATTTTCAACTTTAAAATATTATCGCTGCTATTCCTTTGTAATCAATCAATATTTGTGACCTGTTGAATTATTCGTTGTTATGTACAAGGACGTGGGCGGTATAGATATATTATAGTAATAATATGATACTTAGAAACATATTAAATACCCTGTAATCTGCAATATTGTCTGATGAAGATCACGTACCCACTCATATGGCATAGATAATCTTTATTATTTTTTTATTACGACAGGCTTTATCGGAACTCATTCAAGTAGGATTTGTTTAAAGGAAATGGTCGGACATCTGTCTGTGTAGTACGTGTTTTAAATGTAATAAACACTAATGTTTTTCCTAATAACTGAACAAAAAAGAAGTAATATGCCGTTTTAATTTATTTTTGCTAAATTACCTCCGTTACAAAGTTTCGGCAGGATTAGATTATTTTAAAACCATTATGATTGGTCGCTAAATTTTCCTGGGTAAATATTGATGGTATACTTCCATTTCTCAGGTCATGACCTTCATCACACACTATATAGGTAGCCCTGAGTATGTTCTGCTACGTTAATACATATTTTTTTAATAAACACAAATATTAACATTATCCCATATAGAGACTAACATAATCATCCAAATACCCAGTAATATACGAGTATCTATGTTTAGTCACATATCATATTTTAACTATTTCGTTGTGCAAGTGTCAAATTTTGAAGGTCAAACGTCAAGCGTGCAAACCTTGGTTTTAAGATAAAGTACCACGTACAGATAAATGATACAAACAACATTATATTTTGATAATAAGTAGATATAGAAAAGGAATGTATAGTCTATCGTTTCACAGATATCGATAATAACACGGGACGTAGATATTAAATACTAGTGACCAACGGACACCTAACTTTTCATTTTGAGCAATTTAATTATATGTTATTTTATATCTTGATGTAGATAAAAAATTATCCAATGACTGCAATCACACAAGAGCACACCCTGAAATACGTCTTCACAACGGCTAGGCAGATTCAATGTAAATTAGGTTTGAAAAAGCGCACAAATGAGGAGAAAAACTGACGTGAAAAAAAATGCTCCATCTGAATGTACTATCACAGATTATGTGACGATGTTATAGCACCTATCTCGTTTTGTGCTATTGTTTATATAAGTCGGTAAACGATGCGGTTTCCTCCACTTGTGCGTTGATGTAGGTATTTCGTAGAAGAAAGTAATTCACGATCGATACAATAAATAGAACATCGGTAATCATATTGAAACGATATTCAGCAACACATGTTAATGTTTAAATTAAAATATAGAGAAGTGTAACTCACTAGCAGGACTTTAATTTACCATTCAAATTGAAACTACTACCAATTTTTTAATATGTGAAATGATGTACGAGATGTTTCTATACTGCCCACGTAGAAATAAACCGTACCTCCGCTTAAAAAACGTCACATCGCAAAGATCTAGGCGTCTTAGTTAAAAAATACGGTTTTCAGAAAGTTCAAAGGTAATCAGAGCTAATTTTGCAGCTACAAGGAAGCTACCAACTCGTTCTTCGACCATTAAAACCTTTATCTCGAGTATTTGAGTTGTGGCGTTATTTAAACAGAGGTGCCAAATGTATCTTATAAACAATGGAATAGTAGATTAGCCGCAATATTAAACAAAACGGGTGCTGGTAACTACATGCCTTATTAAAATGAAACTCACAAAATATGTATAGCTTATAACCTGCACGTGTGACCGCCCCACGAGTTCGTTCAATAGTTGAGATTTGTGTGCAATTGTTATTAATGTGTGATTATTATTCAGTTTATGCTATCGTTATAATTCAATAAATCATTAATTAGTTTTTCGTGTTTTATGTACCCCCTCTTTTTACACGCTTTATATTAGCTTCACTTGTATGTTTGTTTGTAACCGACTCCTTTGGGCGTGATTTTGACTGACTTTAAACGGTCAGAATTCGTTCAAACTTTGTAGATATATCGAGGACCGATGACAATACACTAATTTAAGAAAAGGAAAATTAAAAAGGGGTGCTTTTTACTATTGACAACAGGCACCCAACGCTTTTTTTCAAATTTATTTTCTATTTTTTCCTTTGGTTTTCTATAGAAAGCGTGTTTTTTAGTTTTTTTTAACTATTTTTTTTTTATTGCATTCTATATACAAACTTATATTATAATGTTTTATTCAAAGATAGAAATTACTTATTGAGCTAAATATAGTCACAAAATAAGTTTTTCTGTGGTCTTTCTGCGATAACCACGACATGAGCTATATAAGCTATATTTTTCAATGACCACAACGATTTGTATGTAACTAGCCTGTTTTGCGCTCAATGAGCGTTTTAGGTTTTACAGTATAACATAATTATATAGGTATACAATGCGCCTAAAGAGTCATCACTTTCATGAATTAATGGGATACTTATGGGAGTGCTGTGGAAGAAAAATAGGTATGGTAATTAAAAAATGCGTTTGTATAAATATTTACATTATTTACTTATCGATATCAACATTTATATGCGACCATTCCCGGTCGGCGAAAGTAACGTTGTACCGCCGCCAAACTAAGAACCTTCTCTTTTTTGGGAGTCGGTTAATAAAAGTAAAGATAACAAATTTAAGGTTTTATTAACAAATAAAACATCAATACTATTTCAGGAAAACGAAACTTAATTATAGAAAAAAGTTCCATAAAATCGTTACAATAAAATCAATTTTGAACAAGATTCAATTGGCTATAACTATCACCAATAAATAATACGGAAACCTTGTTTCTTTCCGACTAAAAAGTAATATATAGATTGTATGTACAACTACAAGTAATATTTTAGAGATCAGGTGACAATTCATATAGTATATTTTATGATAAAGTGACGTTAAAGTGAGCTAATAATGTTTGGAATGTTCATCAATTACTTCACTTATTCTTAAAAAAAACAATAACAATAGGTGTATATTAAAATCAAATTATGACAGCCTGTTATCTTAAATCAAAATTTTCATAAATCCTCTTTGTTGTTTTTAATACAATAACAAATGTATAACAGAGCCTCAAAGCCATAAAGTGGTCCAATAATAAAAATAACGCCTTTAAATAAAAATTACGTAATTGTGATGTATTGAACACTGAAGTTAACCATGGAAGTCGTCTGAACAATGAAATCAAACTATGACATGTGCAAATATTATGACTATTTTATGCACAATAGTCTATCATAACTATAACATTAAACTATTCAGCCATTGTAGGTACTCGCTACATTTAATATATCATTGAACATTCTACTGAAGAATGAAATCACATTAATGGTTTGACTATAAAAATAGACTTCATTTATTGTAATAGAACTGACCTGAGTAAAAAAAAACAATTGCTTTATCTCTGTTCACAATGACTTTGCACATTAAGCAAATAATAAATTATTTGTGCAAAGTTATTGGAACAATTTGAGCAATTATTTAGAACATTTTGTGTAACTCAGTCTTTAATTTACAAACGTAAAAAAGATCCTAGTCATAACATAATCAACTAATCATGTCAATTTTTATAGTCAAGTCAGCGAAATGAATAAAAATTAAATTTTTAAATACTTTTGTTTGTAAAAATGGTGATAATTGGTTCAATATATGAGAAATGACATTAGTAGGCAATAGAAAACTAAAAACAATATATAAAACAATAAAATTGAAAATTGTCATGAATGTTAATATAGGGTAATAGATAGAAAAACAAGAAACTTTGTGAGTGGATTCTAGTCTAGTGTGAAGATAAATAGTACTATTATCATTAAATGGATATAGATAGCAACCCTATCACACAGTGTAAAAAGATACATTAAATCTCCCTTCAACAAGTAAAAATGCCAAGTACCTAAGATATGCAGACACATCTTCTATGATGATTGTTAACACAATATCATGGTATGGTTATTTGAACATGTACTGAAGAAATAACAAATGAAAGTATGGCCTTACTTGGTATTATTGCTATTGAAATGTATTAAAAATTAGAAATACTGAATTATTTGACCACCTCAATAATAAATGCTGCTCAAACATACATTTACATTATTGTATCTATGTTGAAAATTCATCACAGACATAATGTTTAGTTGAGCTAAGAAGTGCCTATATTTACAGTTGCTGTTATGATGTATGATAATCATGTATTTGGAATTTCTATGCTACAGATATAATATAAACAAGATCTGCTATACTTAATGGTAACTTATTGTAGAATTATACAATACAGTTATATTTAGTCATAATGTCAAATTGTAGTGAATGTCAACAAATTGTAGCATCATTTAATAAAAAGACATAAACATATTTAAATTTACATCAAAAGTAAATTTGTAAGACAACTAAGACAACTGACTTTCTTCACTAGCAGACATTAATTTATGTCTACATATTTTACGGTTTTTACAAGTTAAAAAATGATACTTTTTAAGACCTTGGCTCGTACAGAGAAGATCGTTAGTGTTATTATGTAAAAAAGTTTAAGAAATTAACTCAGAAGAAAGATCTAGAAAGATGTAGTTACAGTATATTAAAGAGCCATAAACCAAAATCTAAAAAAGTGTCAATTTTAGTTCTCCCATAATCGAGCCTTATTGATTTTTACTCTTTTTTTTCACAGCAAAACACAAAGGTGCTACAACAACCCATCACCTATTGAATGGTATGCGGTCACTATAGCTTTCTCAATTCAAATAGCTACCTAATATTAAACAATTCTCACCTAACCAAGTGTTGGCCCTAAGTATGGTGACTGATCACAATAAAAACATTTTGGCACTTCAGTTTCTTGTAATTCAACTAAATTAGAGCTTATTGTATTAGCTACATGGTAGTAACGACATCTCCTTGGGCCTATTGCCTCTATTAGGGTGTCGTAAGGTGGGGAAAGAATATCGAAAAATGCTGCTGGCATATCAAGGGCTTCTATTTCGTGATAATTTGATATTGTCGGCGTTAACATACAGGTTTCGGAATTCTCTTTACAAACACGATCATTGGTTATTTCCGCAAACAATCTTCGTTTTTTATGGATACCTTGTGCGAGCCTCGCTGCTTCGTGTTTCGCGCGAGTTTGAAAGTCGATAACTTTAACCGCTTCCTTCAGCGGAAACTCAGTGAAAGCCCTTATATTAACAGCACCTGATATGACTTTGAGAAGCCCGTGCATGTGTGGGTGATCATGAAGAGGCATCTTGAAACCCGGCTGCAGCACGAAAATACTCATATTTATCTGACTATTTTGAAACACTTCTATATACGTACATGGGGCCTTGTTGGGTTTCTTCCACGTCTCAGGATTCTGCAAAGTTTTGTCGAAGCCCAGATCTTCTGCTTTTAATAAATCCATCATACGCTTTAAGTTATTCAAGTTGGTCGGTAAATCATTTTTATGTTTGTCATCGAAAGTGTGCAAGGCCTGTCGATAGGTAGACACAATTGGAGGGACGTTGACGACTTCCATGGTTAACCTTGCGTCATGTCTTATATCCATATGCAATCTGCCTGGTTTACACAAAAATTTTGTTCTAATAAAGTGTGTAGAAGTATAAAATAATCTGGATGATAACAAAGCGCAACTGTCAAGAAACGTCATTTTGTTGTTTTTAATTTTTAAATGTGCGTTCCGTTACACCTGCTTTGCTTTAGTTTTTGATAAAGCAAATATGTAGAATGTTATGTTATTTTTTTAGTTTTTAATATGTAAAAATTTGTTTAAATAATATTTAATAATTTCGTTAAGAGATGTATTACTTTATTTTAAATTATTTACGTTTATAATTTATTACCATTGTTTTACTGCCCACTTTTTTAGATTAAGATTTCAAATTCAGGATTTGATATCTTAAACTAAAAAAAGAAGGTTTGAGTGAACTTTCAGCGATCGGAATTATATGCATTTGAAATATTCTTAAGAGTCAGTTCTCATCAATGAGGAAGTAAATATATTCTTAGGTCAATGGTTCTCATCGCAGTTTTTTGTGAATAACTTAGTCTATGGAAATTTTAGTGTGTGTAATAGTAATCATGGACAATAGATGGCAGTAAACAGGTATTTCTTGTTTCTAAAGTATGTCAATAGATAGAGCTATCGGTTTAAAAAATTTACAGCCATAATATCAGCCACTAATCTGACATATTATAATGTTATCCTGTAATTAGTAGTTGTTAATCAAGTTTAATTTTCATGGAAAAGACATTTGCCTTTTTTTGAAATTCAAATGTTTTTTTTTTATTATTCGTTTACCAACACACTGCATTCATTTAGATATACGTATATCGTCAGTGAAGTTCAATCGGTGCAAAGTTCTTTTTGCGGCTTTAATATTTTTTAATACCTTTCGATGAAGAAATATCACGGGCTTCGTTTCAACCTGTCAGAAGGAAGTTAGCTAATCCATAGCGCCGTATTTTTCAATGAAACTGACACTGCATAAGTAAACCTGCATGGTCAACACAGCGTAGCTTATTAGCGTAGATTTATTATCTACAAAATAATACCTGATACTTTTAGCTAAGCGACAACAAACAGCACAACAGTTTTGTTAAAAAATTGTTACAAAAACAATTAAATTTCAAGTAAAGAACTATCGTAATGCTCCACCTTAAATGCGGATAAAGTAATCTGTCATACAGGTCTCCTAGTACAGACATCAGTCTCTCACATATATAATCTATAAGTAATTGTACTAATAACTACATCTATTTTTAAGTACTTACTACATATGTAAAAGTCTGTGTGAGAGAACAAAAAATAAAGTTATGATTATTCTTAAAAAAAGTTATTTCGTGCTTGTGCTTATTTATTTAAAATTTTATATACGTAAACTACTTAAAAGCATACAAGTAACTCTTTTAATTAAGTTCTGTGCCACTAAGGTGCTAAACAAGCAAACAAACTTACCCCGCTTTTCTTTTTACGTTTACGAACGCTTGCTAAATTAAACCCTTCCAAATGAAAACGAATTTTCCAAATCGACGCTGTTCTGCGTTGGCAAATATAAAACAATTTTATTTAAGAACCATCTTTTTTGAATTCGGTGATAAATACCAATATAAGTTAATATTTTCTTAGCGTAGACATAGTTTCATCATTGTCAACAAAAGCCATTAATAGTCCACTGCTAGACAATAAGCCTCTCCTTAGAAAGGAGGTTTTGGCCTACTATACCACGCTGGCCAGACGGGTTGGTCTATACCAACCCGTCCCAAGAGAAGAGAAGGAAAACTTTACTTAAACTCTATAGTTTAAGTAAAGTTTTCCTTCTCTTTGCAGTACCGTTGTCCTGCGTAGTTTGCACCCTTAGTCAGCTATTACGACACCCATGGTATGAATAGGGGTGGTGACACTCCGTATTCTTAATCCGTTATCACGCGGACAGACCTATGTACAAACTACTTTACATACTTACTTTAAAACCACTTGAATCGAAGAACTGATTTGCTGCCTAAAAAAATATATATTACACCTTGTATTTATTATCACGCGTAAGTCTATCTAATACGTATAAAAATAATTTAGGGTTTAAAAATATTTTTTGTGTTGCCATACTCTTTGGCCATTCACACACATCGGCGTAACCTACATTTGAACAAGACAATTCCGTTTAACGTCAATACAATAAACTGTAATAATTATTTTCTAACAAAACACCGGAGCATTTCTATTTACGTTTTGATGAATTTATCTATGTTTATAGACTGCTGGTTAATCGATCTGTTTGTAGCGTTCTCGATAAAACGCAGACAGCATTGGGAACTCAATAAAATGCCCATCGAACATTAACGACAGCCGAGTATTTATTTAAGTGGTGTTGTTTCCGCCACCCGCGGCTTCTTCAGCCATTTTGTTGTGGACGGAAAGACCACACATTAAATGTTCTGGTGTAACGTGTTTTATTGCAAGTAAAGTACGGGGTTTTATTTCTATTCTGATGTATAAATAGGTTGGTTTCATGGTTGGAGAGCACTCTAACATGCACCAGATTTTACCAATTGAATTACAGTGTTAGAAACGTTCACTGCATCTTAGGTATTTTTTAATTATTTTTCAGTTGTTTTTTCTTCTAGAATTCTTTTGGTTATTTATAAAGTTTATCATACAGTGTGTATAAATGAATTTAAAAAGAACATAATATTAATACCTACAACATAATCCACGCTCAATTTCAGTAACAGGCTAACAATATTTAATAGGTTCCATATATGTTTTTTTAATTGTAAAAGTACTCGTAAGTTGGCAAAAGAGCTAATGGTTCCCCGACTGTAAGTAAGTACCGCTGCCCATGAACACGTACTGCTCAAGAGACAAGCGTGTTGGAGCCCTTTGAAGTGCCTCCCCATGGAGAGGAGGGCATGGCCTCTGTTGATCTCATTCACTCGGTAAAAAGCAACAAAAGAATGGCTTTTCATTTTTAGCGGTAATACGTTTAATCAAAAACTATATGGATGGCCATATTTTAAGTCCACTATTCTATTTCATACTGTATTGTACCATATTTATTTTACTATTTATGTAGGTACTAATTACGATTAAATTAATATTATAATAATACTTATATAAAAGTAAGCAACAACAAATACTTTGAACAATAAACAAAAAGTAAAATAAGGAAATTGCAAAACGACATGAGTGTTTTTTTGTTTATAGAATAGGGGGCAAACGAGCAGACCTGATGGAAAGCGACTACCGCCGCCCATGAACGCCTGCAACTCAGGCATCACAAGCGTAACTCCAACCGTGATTATTTTATATTAATTAGAACCTAAATCATATATTACATTCCTGCACAATTCTATTCTCCGCTAAGACGATAAAATATTCATCACTCGCTTAAAATCCAGGAACTTACCGTAACGATTTTTATACTTTTTCAGTGAAATTCAAGTACCTGTAACAAAGTGAGAAGCTACCGTGTTCTGCTGTTTGTCTGTTTGTTTGTCAGGTGTGGCTGCGTGGGTGGCCTTCCAAGAACCCTTTGTTAGGCAGTTACTGCCTCTGGTGATAGCTTACATGAAAGCGATGGCGATGCGACCTGACGAAGTGTTTAATGTTCTTAGTATTTTACGTGTAAGTACATAAGGTGAGAGCAAACCTCCGTTATGTTAAAGTTTGCCGACATTAAAAATGAGGCAATCCTTTTTTTTTGTTACTTAACAACAAAAACTATTGACAAAAAAGACAACAAATGGATTCTATACCTATACAATTTATTTTGGGATTTCTAAATATTTTTTTGAATGCGATACCATTTTAATTTGATTTTGCTAGTGTTATTGTAATGTTAGCAGTAGAAATACCTACCTAGTATTTAGAAGAAAAGTTTTTTTGACCAACTTTTAAAAATAGTCACTTAAAAGTTGTTTCTTTAATATTGGTAAAACAAAAATAAGATAAAAAAAATTACGGGCCTAAATGAAAAACAAATGTTTGTTGAACTAAAGAAAACTTGTCAATCAAAAGTAGGATTAAAAAATATATATGTATTTATGTATAGTTACTTGCAAGTAGTTTGCATAAGGTGGACTTAATTCCATACAAAAAATAAATTGCATCGGCCGGGAATCGAACCCGGGCCGCCCGCGTGGCAGGCGAGCATTCTACCACTGAACCACCGATGCTTAGGAAATTAATATTAAATTACAAAATACATGATATAAAATGCCAATTCTTTTTATCAGTAGTTACGTTTAGTTTAGATAACTCGGTAAAAAAAAATAGCGAAAGATTTTAACAACATAATAAACGTCATTATTGTTATCGAGACTGAAACATTTTTATTTTAATGTATGTAACATTCGTATTAATAACCTTTTTAACGAATTTCAGAAAACGGAGGAAGTTCTCAATTCAGTTAAATAATAATAATAACCACACACATCTCACACAAGGCTGTCTGATCCCAAACTAGGCAGAGCCTGTGCTATGGTAACCAGACTGCTGATAAACATACTTTTATATTTCTAGATACAGAACAAACGATCGTGCTCTCACACAAATATTTGTTCTGGGTAGAAATCGAACTCACGACCTCCGTTTTAGCAGTCAGGGTCACTAACCACTAGACCAACCGGCCCGTCAGAATGTTTTATGTCACCTTAAAACCCCGTAATTTCTAAACCATTCTTATTTCATTTGTAAGACACTCTTAAAGATTGTTCTCATTGAAATTTGAAGAAAAACTTCTACGACACTAAGCGTGAAAATTAAGAAATTTATGCATACTGTACCATTCTTTAAAGTCAGTGATACTTTTTTGAAAGTAAATTATTACAAACATGAATGTTCCCTAACCCTGCAGATGACCTGTAGGAACCGTCAAAGGGCTCTTAGCTTATTTACCTATCTAAGGTGCTCTTATAGAACAACAGAGATCGTCAAAGTGTCGTCCCATGTGGGGTTTGACCCCACAGGAAGCGGCCGGCTAAACCACTACGTCATCCGTGCAGTCAAATTTGAAACTG